GTACGTGTGAGTGGCACATACCAAAGGTGTGATGACAAGCCTCAGTCTCCACAGAAGCAGTATTTTGAGGAAAAATGGCAAGTCAAGAATCTGGTTGAGAGAAGAGAAAAACTTCAAGTCACTAAGTTGCACCAGGGAAGGTTTAGATTGGATAATAGGAAAAATTTCTTCACCGAGAAGGTGGTCAAGCATTGGAACAGGCTGCCCAGGGAGGTGGTGGAGTCACCATCTCTGGAAGTGTTCAAAAAACATGTGGATGTGGTGCTTCAGGACATGGTTTAGGGGACATGGTGGTGCTGGATTAATGGTTGGACTTGATGGTCTTGAAGGGCCTTTCCAACCTTAGTGATTCTGTGATATTTTTCAGTAGGCAGATACAGTACAAAACACTGTTATTAATCACTGTACACCCTTTTTGAAGGTGGTGGGTGGACAATGTGAAACATTCAAAAGGAAATGATTTTCCAAAGAAACTGACTTTCCAAAGCAGCCACTCAGCACATGCATGATTCTGAGATCGGAGCGCAGTGAATAATAGAAACCTGTTTCCTTTTCAAGCATCCTGTGCATTTCTGTGTTTTGTATATCTGGCCTTTCTTACCAAGCACTAACCATGCAAAATGCCTTTTGTATTGTTTCCATTTCCTGGCTCTGCAGAGGGAGATATCCATGGGAGAACAAACTGTCAGCTGGTGTGCGTATCTCAAAAAGCTTTTTGCTCTTCATTCCGTGCTCCCACTTACCTGTGGAGCGGCATTCTTAAAACGAAGCCTAATTTTAAAGCAGTTACAATCTTCTCGTTCACCACTTTTCATTTCAGCTGGGGCAGAGAAACTCTGGTCAAGAGCCGGATCTTGTCTGTCAAAATAATAATTCTGGCCTATAGCTTGTTGCCCTTTTTCAGCTGGGGCTTCATAAGAGGAATTCAGGGAGGCTGATGCAGTCTGAGTGAATTGTTCTTCCAGTCCTCATCCCAGACAGCTTTCCCTAGGCATGCATCCATTTTCAAGCACCAGATTGAGTACACAGCTGTCACACAGTGAAAATGTAGCTAATGTGTGATTAGACATGCATCCATAATATATGATAGTGATGCCAGCAGTTTAGTATTGTGGTAGGTTCATATACAGTTGCGTGGCAGGAAAGGAGTCTTAGCCTCTTGAGAGCCTACAAAAGCAGCGGTGTGACCATTTCTGTGAAAGATTCTTCACCTGCAGATGGAGAAAAGCAGCCTAGGCTGTTTCTCTGTGATAACCTTAGGAAAGTGGTAAGTAGCAATTGCCAGTACAGTCAAGTAGGGATGGATGATTGCCTTGGGCTTTTCTGCCATATGTTGAGTGTGCTGTATCTCATTTGTTATCTCCATATAATAATTGAAATCCTGATTTCTGTTGAGGTAAATGTCAACATGAAGTAAAAAAGATCATGGTATTTCAAAGTCAGAGTTCCTGTCAAGCAATTAGTTTTTATGAACGAATACTTCCAAAGGGAAAGTAAGTAAATGTGGTTAATCTGTATTTGTAGCATTATAGAAATAATAGCCAAATTTAGGTTGAAAGGGATCTCTAGTAGTCTACCTCCTACTTGAACTAGGGTTAACGTCCAGGTTAGATAAGGTTACCCCGAGCCTTATCCAGTTGAGGTGTACATATCTGTCAGGATGGCATTTCCACAGCCTTTTGGAGCAGCCTGTCCCAGTGCTCAGCCAATCTCACTGAAGAATTTCTTCCTCAAACCCCATTGGAATTTCCCATCTTGCTGCTCGTGTCTGTTCTCTGTTGATTGAGAAGAGTGCGTCTTGGTCTTCTCTGTCGCTGCCTGTCAGGCGGTGGAGTGCAGCAATTAAATCGCCCCTTCTCCTTTCCTTCTCTAGCCTGAAAAAACTCAGCCCCACCAGCCTCTCCTCCTGCATCGTCTGCTCAGCCCCCTGACATCTTAGAGGTCCTCCCTGGTCTTTCTCCAGTTTGGCAGGGTCTCTCTCATCCTGGTGGCCCCAAACCGGTCACAGGTCTCCAGAGTGCTGGGGAGAGGGGAAGTCACTTCCCACTGAGGGCTGGTAACACGCTTGTTGTGTACAGTCCGGTAAGTGGTTAGCCTGCGTTACCAGGAGAGCGCGCTGCTGACCTGTGTCCAACCTGCTGTCCTTCGGGGTGTCCGCCTCCCGATTTTGTCACAGAGCGTCAGCGACTTACGAATTGGAGCCTGCGTGGTTTAATGTACCTGCAGCTGGGCGCAAAGGGTCGCTAAGTACTGAGGAGCGCTCGGGAGGTCCAGAGCAGCACTGCATTGCCAGAACGGTGGTTCTGAGTGCCAGCAGCAGAGAGCTCTTCTTTCGGTGGCACTGACTCGGTGACGGGCCTGCACGTGCTTTCTGGTGTACCGCACCTTTGGGCATGAGCTTAAAGAGCGGAAGAACTCTGATACAACCCAGAGGTGTCATTGTCCTTCTTATGGCTATTTACCTGCTTATTAATGTGTTTTTAATGCTGATTCTTTTACTTTATGGTAAAAACCTAGGTCAAGGATTTACTCTTCTTGAAATGAAGCCAAATTAATTTAATTTATCTTGTACTATGTAGCCAGTCCATCCTACAGATACCGAGGAACCTGTGGGCAGGTTGCCACAGATGAACCTGTGAGACGTTATCCTGCACAAGTGCTAAGAAGTATTGTTACAGATATTTATCACAGCACCCAGAAGGCAAGGCTGTCTCTGGACTGTCCCTGTGTGCATCTGAGTCAGAAGTTTCTTCGTTCTCAGTGCAGAGTCCTTTAAGGAGAGCGAGGAAATGAAATGTCTGAGGTGCTGCGGCTCCAGCCCATGCTGGGCATGGAGTCAAAGCTACACAGAAATGAAAAAGGAAGCAGCAGCAGCATTTTGAGAAGCTTTAGTTTCTCTTTGGCAAAAGGGTGGTATAAATATCCCAAATCCACGAGAGCTTGCAGCTCTTACTATATACAAACAGATCGAAAATTCAGTGTATCGCAGTGGTATGCTTACTTCTTGTGCTTCTCTATGAACAGTTTATACAGTTTTTCCGATTTAAGCTTTAGTTCCATACAGACATATCAAGCTATTAATACTTCATTTTGGGGGATGGAAGCTTTATTCTTTTGCAGTCTACCTTTGTGGCTAAATTAAGCTGCATTTCTGTTGTTCTCCAGGAATCTGTGTTAAATAGCAACGAATTTCTTAATGTCCTCAGAAATGAGCCCCATCAGCATGTGTTCTCCTGGGAAAGTTGGTCCGGCTCTTAGAGTGAATATAATCCCATGAGATACAGAGGAGACACTTGGGACTTCTCGGTCTCCTCTCAAGAGAATAACAATATTCTCGGTGTTGCGTTTAGAGATCCCTACCAGTGATCTCTTCTGGCTACTCTAAAAATTTCTTCAGTTTAAATACCTGGCAATTTATGATCCTTGAGATTTTTTTAAGCTGTAAAATGAAAACTCTCAATCTTGAGCTGAAAGTAGAATAAAGGAAGAAAGTGAATGATGGTTAATTAGTGATGGTGACTTTAGAAATTAAAGGACCGACAGAAGTGTCAACATGGGGCATTGTTGCTTTCTTGGCTGCTGTGTGTGATTGCAATGAATTATTTTGGCTATAGCCCACTTGGATGACACTGCAGTTCACAGCTTGAAAAAGCCAAGTACCCATAAATAGGCTGAATTTATAGGTGATTTAACAACTCCAGATTACGAATTGTAACAGAAGAGTGTATATTTTCAGGAGACAAATACTTTATAGTATGTGTTCTGACGGAGTGAAATACCCTCCTAGAGCTGCGCCAGGGAGTTGTGCCTGATTTTTGGAATGATTTTCTGGACCAGATGCTTTCCCTGGTCTTGGAGATGGAAAATAGTTTGATGTTTAAACCACCTGGAAAGAATTAGACTCCTGTGGCTGCTTGGGTAATTGGTGACCCAGAGCGGAAAGAGAATAGTTTAACAAATTAGGTTAGGTGAATCTTTGTTTGTACACAAGCGTGGACTTCTCGTGGTTATTTCAGTGCTTTGCAGCTTTTAATACGCATTTTACCCATAAAGAGAAGCTCCGTTTTGCCCTGCCCTGACTTAGGGGCAGCATCCCATCGAAGCATGGCGGCGGCCTGAAGGGCTCGGTCGTCGCGGTGTCTGCTCTGGAGTCCTTCGTCAAAATTAGTCTCAGTATTTTACCCCACGATTGCAGTATTTACTTTGACTTCTGCTTCGACAAAAAGACCTTTTTAAAAACTGTCCTAGATTTAGAGTCATCAAGGAAGCTTACCCTGTTTGCTAATTTCAAGTGATTAATTATAGTTATAAATGGATTTTATTTCTGATTCAGACTTTATTATTTCAGTCCCCAACAGGCATTCTCTGACAGATAATTAACCTTCAGATGCAAGTGTAGCTCTTTATTAGCTATTTAGGACTACCCCTCTCTCAGCTTCATTAACTTACACATATTTAACATGATCAACAGACCACACGAGTATGTTAAAAAATGCTTAACGCCAGCTTACGCTGATGCCCCCTTCACAGCCCCGTGCAGCCGGGGCTCAGAATCGCTTCCTGCGCAGCCGGACGCTGTTCGGGACCGGTGCTGCACATTGCAACACAACCAAAACACTCCTGGTCGGCCGGTGGAGGCCCAGCGCTTGCTGGGGAGGGACCGCGGTTCCGCGCTCCTTGTCCACCTCCGTCCTTCATCCTGGTCCACCGAGCAGGTAGAAACGCCTGGGGTTTGGGTGTGCTGCCTGTTGCCAAACCTCCAGCCTCTCGTACCGACGGGGCGCGTGCGGGGCTCTCTCCGAGCCTGGGTTCCTGCTGTCGTTGCACCGCAGGAGTGATGGTCGCCAGGTAAGTGGCCTCAGTCTCAGGTCCAGTCGTAGGCCTTTAGCTTTGAGTGTTCGTTCCTTCTTGGCTCTGGGATAGTTGTGAAGTTTTGCTCACATCTTGAGATTAAAAACAGTATTTCTGAAATACCCATAAATATGTCTGTTATGTTATAGGCTTTTGAGCTAGCGACGGGAGATTATTTGTTTGAGCCGCACTCTGGTGAAGACTATTCCAGGGATGAAGGTATGAATCTTTTGAGATGCTGTTTGAGTTTCTGTATATTTTCACGCTCCTCTTGAATTTCCAGTGAGCTTACAGTGGGGTTAAGTCTTGTATTTGAGTGAACTGTTCATACACATTGTTTTCAGAATATAAATATGATTTTTTTCTTTTTAGTTTTAAGTTCCATCACTAGCAATGGGTGGGCAAAACCTCCCTTCTGCAGATACTCATCTACTTAACAACTGCCTGAAGGAATTAAACTGCCCTTCTTGTAAGATTGCATATGTGTGGAAACCTGATTGAGAATAACAGCATTTTAGTTTAGAAAAGAAACGACAAATTTGAACTTTGTAGTATTTTCTTCTCATAAGAGTGACACTGGAATAATGTTTACATTGTGTACTTTTATTTGAATTAGGAAATGACTAATTTTTTTTTTAAATCAGAATTAACTCCTGCTTCCATCTGTATACCTGTCCATTTTCATGCTTGTTTGCTTGTAAATGCTCTTTGCAGTGGTAATGTGGGCATCATTCATTGTTCCTAAATGCCACTAATGATGCCAAAGCTCTGCTGATCCTGGAAACCTCTGCATGGATTTGCTGCAAACATTGTTGATTTGAAACTATTTCTGATTTTTTACTAATTCCAGTTTCTTTCCTCTTCTTTTTTATCCCATCCTTTCCCTGCCCCTTCCACTCCCGTATCCTTTTTTTCTCTCCCTCATAGACCACATAGCACACATCATAGAGCTGCTAGGCAATATCCCAAGGCACTTTGCTCTATCTGGAAAATATTCTCGGGAATTCTTCAATCGCAGAGGTAGTACCTCTTCTTTTTGAAAGGTGCCGTGATGCAGACAGAAGTGGAGTTGCTGTTGCTGGTTGTAGCATGTCCCACTGAGGAGCATTTCCTGAAATCACACAACAAAAATTCCTTTTTGAAAAACAAAATACACAGGAATCTGTGACAGAATTACTTTTTTTTTTTTTTAGCTAAACTTTCTGAAAAATGACTATTGGTACATTTTAAATTACATAGCCAAACTTGTGTGTAGCGGCTGGTACTCAAATGTTGTTTTGAGAAGGAAGTTTTGCTGAAAGCATCTTTCCAAATCAGCCACTGAGCAGTGTACACATCTTTTTTTTTTTTTACCAGGCTCAATCTATTTCTGTCTGTACCGGGCCAGTGTCAGTGTATGCATGCAATGTACTGATTAAACTGTTGTATGTTTCTGTTTTGCTGGCAATGTTCTCCAATGCAGACCACATAGCATTGATCATTGAACTGCTGGGAAAAATCCCTCGAAAATACGCTATGTTGGGGAAATATTCCAAGGAGTTTTTCACCAAAAAAGGTAACGGTATTTATGCAACACTAATTTAAAGCATAATACTATCCAAAAGGAGAATATGTTCATTTATGGGTTCTGAAGAAATAGATCCTTTAAATGGAGAGCTCTTGCTAAAGAAGAATTTTGGTGTAAACTTGGATTTCTAAGAAAAGCCACAATTTGCAGTATTCATTTCAAAATTTCATTTAAAATTCAGTTTGGGATGCACTCAACAAAGTGTGGATGTTAACAAACGTCTGTGTGACTCTGTTGTCCAGTGTTCATGTAAATGTAAGCAATCGAGTGATGCGTAGCTGGTAGCGTGATGGAAAATCATCTGCCAACCACTTTTGATGGCGTGTAGTGGTCCAGCGGATGCTGCTGCTGAGGAATAACCGAGGTGGGCAGGGATACCTGGGCAATAGACAGGCGGGTGCCTGCGGTCAGCCCGCACGCTCTGGCGACCGCCCGCAGGGAGAGCACGCAAGAAAGATCGCTCTGTGGCAGAGCGACGGAGAGAGCCGCTCTGCCGTGCGCCACGCCGTCTCGCTTCAAGCACTCCAGATTGCCGTAATGCCGGAGCACCGCAGCCGTCGGTGATGACGTAGCTGTGTTTGGTGGTGTACAGAAGTGCAAACCCGCTCAAATTAAAATCCCTGTCAATTGCTACAAGAAAGTAATTCCCCTTTTTGCAGCAAACGCATTGAGCCTTGCAGTTCTTTTATCCTCCTGTGCTTTGTCTTTGCTCAGGCTGCTCTTTAAGTGAGGTTTTGGACACGTGAGGGAACATGCTGATGCTTCAGCTGTCTTTTGTCCCCTCCGTGTATGAGGCAGTGCAGTGTTGTATCGAGGGACAGGGTGTGTCAGGAGCGTCCCAACACGTGGTGGGGGAACATCCGGGGCGGTCGACCGCAGCTGGCGAGCGCACTGTCCTGCCGAACAGCGCTGCGGCTTCCCTCTTGCCCGTGACTCCGTGTGCGTGAGCACACAGCTTGTTGGCCGGGATGGGGCAGCCAGCCGCATCGGGCACCTGGGGGGCCGAGGCGGCAGTGCCGCGCTGCAGGAGCTTGGGGTCATGAGGCAGGAACGATCCGGTGAGTCTTCCCCCGGCCTTGCACGAGAGCCGCCTGTTCCGTGCATGGATACTGCTGGTAGGGCAGGGACCTCTGTGTGCCCCCACTGCATTAAGGAGGCTGTAATGGCGTTAAACGCGGCGCGAAGAAAGGCAGCGGTGGGGATCGAGGAGAGAGAGCAGCTGCCATTTGGGAGAATCTAAAATGCCTGGTGCTTTTTTGTGTGGAGGGGAGAATGTTGCTGGGGAATAATGAAGGTTTACAAAATGGGAAGGCAGTGGATGAGCTGGAAGCAGAGCTGCTGTTCATCGGTGCCCACCACGGAGCTGGGGGACACCCAGTGAAACGCAGGGGTGGCTTTAAAACAGGCGCTCTCCTGCGCAGCGGGCGGGGGAGAATCTAAAATGCCTGGTGCTTTTTTGTGTGGAGGGGAGAATGTTGCTGGGGAATAATGAAGGTTTACAAAATGGGAAGGCAGTGGATGAGCTGGAAGCAGAGCTGCTGTTCATCGGTGCCCACCACGGAGCTGGGGGACACCCAGTGAAACGCAGGGGTGGCTTTAAAACAGGCGCTCTCCTGCGCAGCGGGCGGTGAGCTTCAGGAGCGGGCTGGCGTCCGCGAGCTCAGGGAGAGGCTGCAGCGGCCGCCTCAGAACCAATCTCGCGTTACCCGAGATGAACAAACTCGGGGCCGACAGGTCTGTAAGTGCATAAAGCAGTAAAAGGGCTGGGCAGGAGGCACCCTCCCGCACCCCCTAACAGGGTCTGCCGAAAGGCCTCCTGCCTACCCCTTCCCGTGGCCACAGTCCGAGGCAGGTACTGAATTAGAAAGACCCCTCCAGCCTGACCCCGCTTAAAGCCTATCTTGTGTTCCTCATTTTTGCTTTACACCAGATGGGTTGGCGTTTTCTAATGTTGTCATAGAACCTTGAAGTGACCTCACCAGTAGCCACAGCATTTGTGGTGCACAGAAGAGGGCAGAAGGTGGGGAGTTTCACGTGCTTCCATGAGCACCTTCCACTGCAGAGTGTCACGGTTGTCCTCTAGAGCCTGAGCTTCAGCGACACTCCCCGGAGGCACCGTCCGAGCTGGGGCCAGAGGCCATGCAGGACAGGCCTGAGGCTCTCCTGGGAATTTCACGCTGTGGTGTAAGGGTGGGCTTAGAAATCTGACTGTAGGCTCCTCCTCGTCAGTCTTGTTTTGTAACACACAATTCGGGTGTTACTGCTGTCCGTAAGCAAGTTCAACCTCAGACCTCAGAGAGAAGCTTTAAGCGTTTGAACTGTTCCACTGAACGTCCCAGGCACAAAAGGAAAGGTGTTGGCAACGGCTGGGTTTACAGGATCGAGTCCCTACTTCTCGGTAATTGCCTGAAGCAGTTGGTGACATTCAGATAGGAGGGTGCATTTAAAAAAGGAAAAGCATTTATAAGTTACTACTTAGTCACTACAGCACAAATGCTCACATACTTTCTGCAGGGTCTCATCTTGATTAAGCCCAGTATTAACTCCAGTGAGTCCTTTTCTCCAGTGCCTCCCCAGGAGCAATTTTGTCTATAAAAATGATTTTGGCACTAAAAGTTGAAACACTTTTGTTTTTTCTAGACCATGGTCCTTTTTATTTTTCTTCTGGTATTTGCTGTTTTCTTGTGAGCTAAACCTGTGCGAGATGCTGGCGGGCTGCAACAAGGAAAAGCACACTGCTTATTTAGCATCCCAGAAGGGAAGGAGAAGGCTCCCCTCCAGCTCCCTCGCCTCCATGGGCCCTTCCCAGCAGTTCTTGCGTTACTTCTTGGGAGCGTGTCCTCAAAATATGTAGTAGCAGATCATATCCCACTGCTGCTTCCCCAGTCCTTCCCGTCATCTGTTTCTTACTGTTCAACAATCCGTCCTCCTCTTGCCTGGTGACATATCTTCATGTTGTCTTTGACAAATCTCATAGACTAGCTCATAACTAGCTCTTTGTCAGCAGAGAAAGCTTTAAGTAGCGTTTTCCCCCTCACAGGCCTTTCAGATTTCTTTGATAATTTCCTTCTGACTTAACATTTCATTTTTCAGAAGGTCCCTTGCTGCCTCCACGTTGGCCGCAGGGGTTTTACAGTTCTGACAACTCTGTTGTCCTCTCTGGATATTCCCTGTGTGCTTCACTATCAAAAATCTAAATAAAGAGCTTCTGTTAGGAAGTTTTCCCTTACTATTACATTTTTAGCATTTCTTTGAAAATTCATGTTACTGCCCTGAATACTGACGGTGTCAGACCGGTGGGTCTGTGCTTTTCTTGTCTGCCTTAAATACAGGCACTGCTTTGCTGTCCTCCACCTACAGGGTACAAACCTCACGACCTAGGTGAAAAGACAAGTTGCCAGACACCTCCATTTCCTGCGCTGCTCTCCAGCGCTTCGGGATGGACCCACCACATTAAAATACATTCTTGGACTTTCTTGCCCGCCTCAGTTGTGTGAATTGCCTTTTACTTACCCTATTCTGATTCCATGGTCAGCATCATGATCTTCATTGAAAACCGAAGCACTAGTTAAATTCACGGCCCCCAGCAGGTATTTTTTACTGTATCCCATCTTCTTAAGTGCTTTTACAATCTTCACAGAATTTCTTGTAGAAAACTTCAACCCACAGTGCTAAAATAGTGTGTTCCTCGGCAGAAAACACTAGGAAACGTCATGCTGCCCAGCATGCGCTGGTCTTAGCTTGGGTATCTCAAGTTCAGCTTCTGCTTTACATAATAAGGAGCATTCAAACAGTATGAACTCACCTTCCACAGTTACACCAGGAGCCTCACTTTGGAATCTTAATTCATACAACCCGAGGGAGGAAAGATACCTAAAACTACGTAACTGGAATACAAAGGTGAAGACAGTGCTGCATGGAAACACACTCCCCCAAAATTAGTCTAGTTTGGTAAATGATTATGGCAACCCTTGCCATGAATGCTGTAAGCTGTAGAAGCTATGGACACAGCCTGATGGATTTTTTTTTTTTTTAATTTCTTTTTGTTAGTCATTTTTTGCTTGCAGTCAATAACAAGTCACTATTTTCTGTCACTTTTTAGCAATATTTGAGTTTATGTGTTCTTACTAGTAAGTTTACTACCTGTTGTGGTTGGTAGTCACCAATACACACTTCTGGAAACCTTCAAAGGAGTAAGATTCTCAGCACTTAAATTTCAGAGTTGCAGAAAGACTTTAAAGGGCTGAGAGTGAGCCTGGAAGCGAGCACACTTTTCCGAGATGTGCGGTCCTTTCTGTACCTTCAGACGGTGGGACAGTACGGGCCCAAAGCAGAGCCAGGTTGCGTTTGACTCACTGGTGCCGATGGGACACGCTCGTACTGTGCACGTGCAGACAGGGTACGTTAGGAAAGCCTCTGCCGCAGCACCCCTCCGGGCCCGCGGGAGGGAGAGGACAGAGGGCAGCGGGCCAGCTGCGGGCAGCACATCTTGACTTTCTATTACCAGCAGGTCTCTGCTTTTTCTCGTGCGAGCGATCAGCCGTTTGCACACTTGCTCTTTGGGGGTCTTTATGGTAGCCCCCGCAGAGCTGCTTTTTCAAGCGTTGCACACTGCCTGGGACCTTCTGCTACCGCCTGAGGTAGCAGAAGTGGGTCCTGCCGGGCCTGTGCCAGTTTTAATCTACTGCATTCAGGTGCTCAGAGTCTCGGGGGCAGGCTGAACAGACTGTTTCTTTTCCTGCCCTGGAACCTCCGTAGCCACAGGGATGTACAGAAAGATGGGAGGTACATCAGACCTGCGAGCTGATGTCTGATGGCATCTTGTGGGCAGTAGATTGCAGCTGGGGGAACAATGGCGTTGACAAACCACTTCACTTACGAACAGCGTGGCCTGCGTGCCCCCATGCCGGAGGGTGGCATGTGCTTGTGAAGCTGTGGGTGAGTCATGTTCAGCTTCCAGTTTTGGGTGAGAACCCATCGCCCTCCTTGGCAGTTTGGGGGCTGTTGCGGAATCACCACAGGGGTCTCTGAAGTGCTTTTTGTAGCATCACATGGAGACTGACTGGCTCAGGTATGTGCCTGGGAAGAAGGGGGCAGCCAGAAGAGTCTGTCTTCCCCGTCACGCTGGAAGGCTTGTGGATAAACCTGGATAATACTGCTGGTTTGAATGGCAGGAGGGTCCTCGCCTCCTTTGTTTTGGTCTGAAACACAGAGCCAGGCTGGCTGTATGCCCCCTCTTTGACAGACCTGGAATCCTGCAGCTGCTGCCAGGGCTTGTGCTGGTGGTGGGGTGAAGGAGACACAGGCAGCAGCAGGTGCTTCCGCCTCGGGGAGGATTCAGACCAAGCCTCTTGTGGGTGTTTGCCTGGGAGATGGAGGAGACTCTCCAAGTGCCAGACCTCTGTGCTTGGTTTGGAATGAGCCACTGCTTTGCTGTGTTGTCAGCACGTGCCACGTAGTGAGGCAGTGACCTGTTGCCAAGACGTCCATCTTAAGATCGGAGTGTTTTTTGTAAGATTTGGGTTTGTTGGCCGATTAAGCAGAGGCCCGTGATGTTCTTCGCCCGTGGCATGAGGGTGTGTGTGAACGAGTGCCTTGGTGTGTGGGAGACAGAATGAAGACATCAGGAAAAATCAGAAATGATGCATACAGCGGAGTCAAAGTGTAACACAGTTTGCTGTAGGAATGATTTCTTGGTTTTGACATCGGACAGACTCGCCTCCATTGAGGACCTCAAGCAAGCTTGCAATGTGCTGCCCTTTCCTAAATAATGATTCTCAGCCTGGTCAAGATGCTGTGAATGCAGAATGGGAGAAAAACGACACAGGGCTTAGTCACTAATGGGCAGAATGAGGTATTTTTCTAATGCCAGTAATATTTCTGTTTGCAGGAGAACTCCGACACATTACCAAGCTGAAACCTTGGAGTCTTTTTGATGTGCTTGTGGAGAAGTATGGTTGGCCTCACGAAGATGCTGCACAGTTTACAGATTTCCTGATCCCCATGCTAGAAATGGTCCCAGAGAAACGTGCTTCAGCTGGAGAATGCCTCAGGCATCCGTGGCTGAATTCTTAGCAGAATTTCCCAGCCGTTTAAAAAAAAACAAAACAAAACAAAGGCCAGCAACCACTTTCCAATGCATCGGACCTAAATGGTGACTGTCACAAATTCTTTAGCAGGATCACACGTGAGCTGGCTTCAATCCTCAGACCTTTGTTTTGCTTGAGGTACTGTTTGACATTTTGCTTTTTGTGCACTGTGTTCTTGGGGAAGGGTAGTCTTTTTGTCTTCAGCTAGTAGTTTACTCACCCACTTTCTTCAGGAAACACTTACCGTGTCTTTAAGCATTGTTTCTTGTGTTGTGTGGCATTCAGTTGTCAGATTTTTGAACAAAGGAAACTTCCCCCCCATGTGTTTTGGCAAGTTTTGTAACTATTTATGGAAAAAAAATATTTTAGCTGATGCATATTATATAATTTACAAGCGTTAAGAAATTTATCAAGTCAGAAATGAGCTATGGTGAGGAATTGTACAATTTTATCTTCTGGCAAAGGGACATCATTCTTGTATTATAGTGTATGTAAATGCACCCTGTAAATGTTTATTTCCATTTACATATGGGATTGGGGACTCAATTTCAGGGTAAAGCGACGAAGTTTTAGAGAGCTTTATAGCAAACCAATTGCATGTAGTGGACTTTAAACTGCTGTAAGGAATTGTGTAAACTTTCTATTCTGTAGCAGTTCCTGTTCATTGGATTTTAAACAAAGTGGCTCTGGTTTACAGGATTTCATTCCCCAAACAGCACTTTAAAGGAAGGCTAGACTTCTTTCTAATAAAGTATGCATTATCATTTAGCACTCCCTTTTAGAACTTCTGCCTATTTTAAGTGCTTTTAAGAAAAGAAAAATAGCAATTTCCCTTACAATGTGATAGTGAAGACATGGTACCATATGGTGTTGCCTTTTTATAAGCACTGTAAGTTGTACTATACCTTAAGGAAAAAGAAATGATTAAAAGTCGAGCATGAGAACCACTCTCTGTGTAGAATTACTGATCTTTTATAATAAAAGTGTGTGCTTGGAATCGGTTAAGGAAGGATAGTGCTGCAGATATTTGCAGTGCAGTGGGTAAAATAGTCCAAGAAGCAAGATCATGCTCATTCCATTCATAGCTTTACATGTTTCTAAAAGAAATTGCACTAGCTTTATTCTTTCCCATAAATAGACATACAATTACCTGTTGTAAGTTGCACGCAAGTTACGTGTTTCCTAGGAAAAAAAAAGCTGCATAGGCTGAAGCTTATAGGCAATACAGATTTTAGAATGTACAGTACAGAGGTGTGTTTTGGCCTCTTTTAGGAGTCAGTGGGATGAATGTAAGCTTACTTCTGATCTTCATGTAACTACGGTGCCACTTTTTCTTGACTTTGTCCATATGAAATTTATTCACATGCCTTTGCAATAACTAGATTGTGAGAAGATAGCCCCATGCTGTAACAATAACCAGTTGTTTGAGGTGCTTGCAGTTGTCTAATTAAAGTGTTTTGTTTTTTCAGACAGTGTGCTGGTCATTGGAATCTTTGCTAGCCATGGCTCCGTTTGTTTGCTAGAGGTCGTTGTCGTGGTGCGGGGGGCGGGAGGTGTTTTAGCCTGGCTTCCTGCGTTCATGTATAGAATACGTCCCCTGGTGTAATACGCCTGCCAGGGGCTGCGTGCAAGTGGTTGCTAGGTGAAATGTGACAAAACCGAGAGCATGTTTCATACAAGGTGTTTAAACTGAACTGCTGTAAATGAGCAAAAGCCAAACCCTGTCCCTGCTACGCCGGTGCAGCTGCTCCTCGGGAAAGAAACGGCATAGCCGCCACAGACAAAGCGGGCCAGGAGATGCTTATCCATATGCTGAGGCCCTGCCGGCAGCTGGGTTTCAGGATCGTGTGCCTTCACCCTCCATGCCTTCGCACTGGAACCACTTCTAACAGCTGTGAGGACAACACTGGTGGGAAGGGCGATGCCAATGGACTCCAGAGCTAGAGGTAAAATCATGTTCAGCTTCACATGCAGCCTAGTCACTGCAAACTCACGCAATGGTTGTTCTGGAACGCGGAGAAAATACTCAGTTCAAACACAGGCCAAGCCAGGTGAGTAACCTGACAGTGCCAGCATGCCTTGCCCCTTGCTTGGCTGTGGTGATACACCACAGCTCTGGGAGCCATACACAGCACCTGTACAGTTCTGCGACGCATCACCTCAACTCCTTGGGCTGCTCTATGATCTTGCCACCTACAGCATGTTATTTGATACTCTTGTATTTGAGATGATGTGATACCCACTTCATGGAGGAATGGAAGGGGGTCAGGACAACCAGATTTGAAGGAGCTATAAATTTTTTCAGAGAGGGTGGGTTTTCTGCTGTTGTTCTCCTGCACGCTAGTGCAAAACTATACATGTGTTTTGCATAGCCAGCAGCTGTTCAGGAAACTATTTCTAGAGTACTGTTTCACTTAAGAGGTTTTCAGTAATTACAGGCAAACTACAATTTAAATAGTCCCAGTTTTTTTTCTGTATGTGAAGAATTACCACCTTTCTTCAGGCATAGCTGCATAGCTGCTTCCCCTCCTGTCCCGTTTCAGCTTTTCATGCACACTGGTTTCCTTCTCTGCATCTAAGGAGGAGCCACGGAGCAGGGTCCTGTTAGGTGAGAATTCAGAGGACAATGTAAGGACATTGTCACACACCAGTTACGGAATAACCCTGCACCTGCTAGGTACATCAGCGCCTAGCAGGAATAAATGACTTTCCTTAATAAAGCAACATCCTGCTATATCATCTATCTGTAACATTCCATACCCTGCTGTTTTATCCTTCAATGAGGGAATCACTGCAGGGATGAAGACACCTGCCTTACAAATACCACCCAGCTTATTTTTAAAGTAAGGTCTCAGTCCCCCCGATCTGCACTCACAGGAGAAGGGGTACATGCTGCAGTGTGCAGGTGGTGCTGTGGTCTGGAAGAGAGGTCCAAGCAACATGTCGTCTGATACAGCTTCAGCACACAATTGCACAGGTATAACAAATGCTGTGTAACAAACACCACTGCTCACAGCTGAACCTGATGCAAGACTCTGCTCAGAGTAGCCTCTCCTTACCGCTAGACTCGGCAGGAGAAACCAACCCCCTTCCTACAGCCAGTTCCAGATCTGTCTGTACTACAGAAGTAAACCCACAGCTGGAAGCCACCCCACAGTGACTGCAGGGGTGTGTTTTACATACATAAGGCCACTTCCCTGAAGACATACCACCCTTGCAGGACAAGTAGTTAAAACTGACATAATTGTGATTTATTAACATGAATTAAAATGCCCAACCAGTGCTGCAATGTGACAGTATATTAAAAAAAATTAAAGATCATATACTGTACTACTTCCACAAAGATCACACTTTTTTTTTTTGCAAAAGAGACTTATTATATACAATACTATATCAAATGAAAGAAGCTTCAAGCAATTTTACAAGCAAAAGAAATACAGTATTTACAGCACTTGTCAGACATTAGAAACAGTCTATACATTAAATTACATTTTCTGCAAATAACTGATGAAACAAAAAGCCATGTCCACACCAAAACTATAAAAATTTGTATTGCATTGTTTCCTATCTCTATGCACACAAAGAACTGTTGACAGAAGAAAATGGAGGAAAAAAAAATTTGTTAGTGCCATCACTTAGCCTGTGTACTTATTTAATTACATATGTATAAAAGTAATATAGAAAACATTCACTAAATGAATTTAACTGCGACAATAAAATTTTAAAGATTATGCAGCATCAAACCTACTGCCAGAAAAAACAGCTGGAATGTTCACTTACAAAATAAAAAATACCTAATACTGGCTTAACAGCACATTTTCAGGAATTTTAAAAAGCAAAAAATGGAAAGAATACAATGAAGGAGCACTGGTGTTTGCTTTTATACAAAGTATCATGTACAAGCTTTAAAAAGTACCTTGAACAGGTACATATGAAATATACACAGTTTATATTACAGAACATTTTAAAAATGTTTAGAATTAAAGGGATCCATTTCAGTGCCACCCTGAGCCATGGTAGTTGTTCTGAAAAGTTGGTGGCACCTGTGCTCTGTGAATGGGGATCTGCCCAGGCACCGGCGACGCCTGCTGCGGCCCCTGCACTGCGTGGGGCAGGGCCACAGAGCCAGGGTGAGGGCAGAACCCTGCAGCAGCAGGCGTTGCAATACTGTTTGGTCCTTGAGGTTGGAGGTGAGGACCCTGACCAGGGAGCGGGCAATGAGGTCCTGTGCCAGCAGGCTGATGTTGAGGTCCAGGTCCTAGCGTTGTGTGATGGGGGGCTTGAGAGGAGTAGGAGGACACGCTCGTGTGAGCACTGGAAGGAAAATGGGGGGGTCCTTGATGAGAGGGGTGGTGTAACCCTTGTGCTGATGCTGGGTGATGCCCCGAGCTTAGAACATTGGAGGGTGGGGGGGGTGGGGGAGGAGGTGCAGAGTTTACAACATGCTGGTGTTGTGCTTGCAAACCTTGGTGTCCAGGTGATGGATGGGGAGGTTGGTGGTGGGGGAGAGGACCTGGCGGTGGAGGCGGCGGTGGCAAATGGTGACCAGCAGCTTGAGAATGAATGTGCGATCCAGGAGCTACTGCCACGGCATGAACTGGACCGACAACATGTGCTACAGAGTGCTGCTGATGAGTACTTTGCTGCTGTACAAGGTGAGGTCCCGGAGCAGGTGGTGGCGGAGGAGGAGGAGGAGCAGCAGACACAGACGCCTGGTGATGAATACCAGCGTTCTGAGATGGCAGGAAATGCCCTGCGGTTACGTGGTGTCCCGGCACCGTTTGCTGACCTGTGGTGCCAGGAAGTGCTTGATTTGGTCCAGATGAGAACACAGTCTGTTGGGGGATGGTGCCCTTCAGCTGACTGTAACTCTGAAAGTTTCCAGAGGGCTGCTGGTTTTGATAGTAAGTAGAAGAAGGGGGTGGGGGCGGTGGGGGAGGCGGTGCACTGCTGTTCAGACTTTGTTGGTTAAACTGGCTGTAAGAAGCTGAAGATTGTCCTGAAGTTGTCTGAGTGAAGAGGGGTCCACTGGCCTGCTGCTGATTACTGGGCTGAAGGGTTGGCGCTGCTGGATAGAAGTTTCGGTGTGTTTCCCTCTGGGGTGTTGCAACTTGAGGTGACTGTGGATGATGAGGTCTGTATGGAGATCCCAACTGCTGTGAGTGAGGCTTTGGTGAAAGATAACCATGCTGCACAGTCGCATGAGGGGTAGAGGACTTGGGAGGATTTTCTATGTGAGGCGAAGGGGGGCAATGCAGCTTCAAAGGTGCAGAAGGCAACTTCTGTGAATGTGAAAGTTGCTCAGCAGAACTGCGCAGATGTGATTGAGATGGATGATTTTTTGAAAGTGCTTGGACGTTATTTGTCAGCTGTTTTTGTTGCAGCTCAGATTTCGGATGATTCGCACACTCGGCCTCAGGGGCATTACCTGCAGTTTCCCAGTGCGAATCTGGTTTTGTGGGTGTTTTCCCAAGTGACTGCGTTGAAACTACAGGACTTGGCGAAGAAGGCTAGAATGAAAAGAAAATATGTCAGTGCAAAACATTCAAAATGTTTTAATGCATGCACAGTTAACAAAAAGAATCTTCTCAGAATGTTGTTCTCTCTCCCTGTGAGAGATGGTGAAAAAGTGTTGAGCCACAGGATATATGTTTAGTTTAAGAAAAACGGCAACAGTAGAAACCCTCAACTTAGCAAGATACTATATTTAGCAAGTATATCTCAATCATTCTTGAGAGTCAAAGACTAGCAAGTATATCAAAGTACTAACAGAGTATGACCCATCAGGTCAAAGGCAGAATCTGTTACTTGTTAAAAGATTTAGATTTCTGAGTCTGAAAGAAATGATTCCAGACAAGACCATTTACAAAAACAAAGCCATTTTTAGAGTTATTTAACATTTTAAAACTGGCCTAGTGCAACCAAACGGACTAAACGTTACAACCTGAATTGTTTCATTTAATACTGTACTACTGAGGCAGCTACTCAACATCCTTCCCTGTACCAGTGCCTCTACTGAGAGTGCCAAACCCTGACATGGCAAGAGCAAACTCCTGCAAAGGTGGGAAGTAGGTAAATCCTGTCACTACTGTCAGTTCTGACTGCCAGTTCTTCAGCATTCAACCTGCAGGACTGCAGTGATACCGAATCTACTAACACAATGTCTTCTCTGTCTACAGAACACAAGATCATATATAAATAGGTATGGCTACTGAAAGAACAGAAAAACCAACTTTTTAGCACGTATGGAGTACCACAAATATTCTTACCAAAGTTTAACCATGTTGGATTGTCGCACAGGTAAGTTACACACATGTTCCATCTAAGTAGTAAATCATGAGATTACCTTTTTAAAGATAAATCTGAGACGTACGTATGCATTCACATGCATATTATACAATACACAGAGGCACAAACACGTATGCATCTGCATAACACTGTGCATTACCTTGCTTGCTTTTGATGGAC